AGGAGGAGGAGGAGGAGGAGGAGGAGGAGGAGGATCGCTGCTGCAGTGGGCTTCGTGGGAGGAGGGGAGCTGGGGAACCCCAGCCATCCCTCCACAAACCTCCAGCAGGGACATCTGTCCGTCCTCCCCCCAGGAGGAGGAAGGGGTCGGACACCCAGCCCGGTTCCTTCTCAGCTCCCCTCCCAGCGCCCAGATGGTGTCTGGCGAAGCTCTCATAGCAGGCAGTGGTGGGGAGGGACGCCCCCCCCCAGCCCCTGTCCCTGTCCCCACCCCCCCAGCCCCTGTCCCTGCCCCCCCAGCCCCTCCAGGGGCCGGCGGTGTGGCTGCGCCCTGCTCACGCTCAGGCTCCCCACGCGAGCAGCAGAGGAAGCCTCCTTTCTTGAAATCTTGAATGGCGATATTAACGAACACTGATGGATCACGTATCACGCTCACTCCCACACAAACAAACTAGCTAAATGGTCATCGCGAGTGTGTTTCCCAGCATCCGTCACAATCAGCACCACCACACTGACGAGCACTCTCCCTCGAGAGTGCCAAGGGGGAAAATAATGCGCTCCACTGCAGAGCGTGGCCTTCACAATCCTGCCCATAACCGGTGATCGTGTGTGTGTGTGTGTGTGTGTGTGTGTGTGTGTGTGTGTGTGCGCGTGCCCTGAGGCTTGAACACAGGACCGGGGAGCTAACTCTGAGCTTCTGTGCTCAAGGCTAGTGCTCTATCACTTGAGCCAAAAAGCGCTACTTCTGACTTTTGGGGGTAGTTCGATGGAGTTTCATGGAGTTTCCTGCCCACACAGGATTTGAACTGCAATCCTCACATCCTCCTATCTCCTGAGTAGCTAGGATTACAGGCATCAGCCACTAGCCACCAGCTAGTAATCCTATTGTTTTTCCCAAATAAGAAAGGTATTTTTTAATTGCATTTTTTAAATTGTGAAAATACCATACAGAAGGGTTACAATTACATGGGCAAGATAATGAGTACATTTCTTATCAAGCACTGTTGCCTCCTCCTTTGTTTCCCCTTCCCATCCTTCCCTACTGTAATGGTATATGTGCTCATAAATATTCATAACTTAACATTATAAATTATTAACTATTAGATGTACTTTATGATCACAAAAAGAGGAGATTCCTTAATAAAAGGGTACTAGGTTAAAGCACAGAATTTTCAAGAAAAATAAAACTTGTTTTTAATTTTTCACCTTGAGACTAATTTTAAAATGTTTACAGCATTCTTGTCTATCTTAAAGAATCACTTCCATTATGGAATAAAGCCGTTTTTTAAATGAGGAATTTTAGTTATTTGCAATCAATGATTCTTGCATGAATATTTGATTATCACTCTGAACTATGAGATTTTAGAGAAATAATCATTTCAGGTTAGCTGGAATTCATGATCTAATTCTAAATCAATATGTACGGATTTATAAGACAAGAGCTGAATCAGTTCAAAATTCAATACAGAAGCACGGTTTTGGATACAATCGCTTTTGCTCCTCACTGTCTTGGTCAGATTTTAGATACTTATTTAGAGGATATAATTAAATTCTCACCTTTTTCTATTATTTAAATGTCAGTGATTAAAAACCATTTCCCTCTCAAGTACTCTTGACTTTTCAATACATTTTTAAAATCCAGTCTAACGTGTGCATCTGTTTCCAGCTCTAACGAATGTCAGTCTTTTCATCAGCAGTTCTGAATTCGCCACATATTTGCTGTTAATAACTTCAGGCACCTATCAAAGAATTCTTGTATTCAAATATTTATACGTGTAAATTGCTGCAGTAGAAGTGAGAGCTGTTGTCAGACGTTTCAGGAAGGGAGAGAGAATCACTAATATGAAGTTTTAATGATGTGAGAGACATTTTACGGTGTGTCAGTTAATTGTATTTCAGCTTTGAATATTTTACACTCTACAATGGCATCTTTATATTCTTCTCTTGTAATCCCCCATGAAAATAATCTATATGTGTATATGAATCATTGCATGTGACTAAGTATTATTTAGTTATGAAAAATGTTAAAACTCTTGTCACATTTTATAAATTTTTAAGGATATAGGCATACATTTTGTTCTAAAAGATTGAAAATATTTTTTAACAATCCCTGTTAGGAAGTGGAGAGGTATGTTTTGAACTCCACCTAAATAGTACAAATCATGTTTTTATAATTTTGTTTATAACTTTTCATCCATAAAATAAAAATTATGTGTTCATTTATCGTCATTCTTCAGTGTTGGAATTTATTTTGCTGAAACATACCATCAAAACCTTAAGTAGTTAAGCCAGGCACCAGTGGTTCATCCTTGTAATCCTAGCTACACAGGAGGCTGAGATCTCAGTATCACAGTTTGAAGCCAGCCAGCCTAAGCAGAAAAGTCCATGAGGCTCTTATATTAATTAAGCACGCACACACACACACACACACACACACACACACACACACACACACATTAGAAGTGGAGCCATGGCTCAAGCAGTAGAATGCTAGCTTTGACAAAAATACTCAGGACAGCCCCTGAGTTCATGCCTCAGGATAGACACAAAAGAAAAAAATATAAAAAAGCTTAAGCAGTTGGACACATTTGTCAACAATTTTAGATTTCTTGTATCCTGAAGTCTCTATCAACATCACATCTGGTGGAAACATCATACCTGAATTACTTTATAATATGTAGGGGTCACCAGAGAGACCTAACACTTTTCTGCCTTTATATGTTTATGTTCATCCGTTTAAATGTTTTCAGACTGTGACTAGTAAATCGTAGTTCAACAGACACAGCACAGATTTTAATATATACTGTTGTGTAAACCAAGTGAAAACAGTAACTCTCTCTCAAGATGACTGTAAACTGTGGGGGAGGGCCATACAAAGCAACAAGAAATCACCTTATAAATATGTTAGAAACAATCACAAGAAAGAAAAGCCACTTGAGTCCTTATCTTGGGGTTCATTTCGCCTAACATCAACTTATCTAACAGTTTCTGCTTGTCTCAGACATACACTAGTGTTTTCACTGTATTTGATGTTGGTATAATTTGTGGAGATGAAGGGAAAAAAATGAATTGTTTAAATAGGGATACAGGTGGACCCATTGCAACAATGAGATGTACAAGTCGTTATGTCGAAAAACGAACTTTACAACTTTGCAGCTTTGGCGGGGGGACGGGATGGTAAGGGGAAACAAAGGAGGAGGCAACAATGGTAATGTACGCATCACCTTGCTCATGTAATTGTCACCTCTCTGTATGATATTTTCACAATAAAAAAAAAGATGACTGTAAAGTGCTTGAATAGAAAGGATTCTGAAACTCTGAATGCTATTATCAAGTCTGTACTGCCCACTAGTGGCTAGAGACAGGATGTGCAAGTTCATCTCTTTTTAAGTTAAATTTAAATATTAGTTTACATATTAGCTCTGTTAGTTATATTTACAACACCCCACAGAAACACACACACACACACACACACACAAATATTTGGAACATAACCTGGTTTGTGAAGAGAAAACTATCCTTACAGTAAATACTAATTATCAGTGTTCACAGCAATTCTTCATGTTCAGTTAGATACCTATGCAATAATAAATGCTCTAAGTTAATTTGTGTGTTTTGCACACACACCTGCCACGATTCACCTAACGTAGATAGCTTGTTATTATTTTTCTCTTTAAGTTATTTCCTATGCCTTGCGCATTCTCTGCTAAAATGCTCTACTACACAGAATCAGTACAATTCATATTTCCTTAGTATTTAACTTTATTGCTACAGAAGCACGGACGTGGTGCTTGTGTAAGTACACCTATCTTGCACTGCCTCAATATATGCACCCATTGCACAGTGCTTAAACCACATGACACCCATCCATAGCCTCCATTTATTGTTTCCTTCTGGTTAAACGGTCAAAACTGTGTCCTCTAGGTTTTAGAAATATGAAATGAATTACTGCAGTCACACTACTGTGGAAGAAATCATCAGAACTTCCAGTCCTGTGCAACTGCAGGCTGAAACCCATCGATGCACCTGTCCTCCCCCTGCGTCCGTAGCCTAATATTGTCCATATTCACCAGACCCACTTCTACATTCTCCATTTATGAATGGAGCTGGGGTGTATTTTGTGCAATATCTGATCTTCCAGCCATGCTGTCACATGCCACAGGGTGTTTATTTTTATAATATTTAAATAATTCACATCTGTAAATCCATGAATCAGCCATATAGGAGAAATGACAACAGCATGTGCTTGATATGAACGAACCAAGATGCGAATATAGTAAGAATCCCAATGAACTTGATATACAGTAGTATTTTCAGACTGCTTCTTCAAAAATCAGGAAAGAAATGTCCATAGATAGATGGACATAACAAGTAAAAGGAAATAAATCCATCCATCTCTTCCTACGTGCCACGGATGGTTGAATAATGATGTCACACATTAACCGCGAATGGCTCTACATACGCCAAACAGTATGTTGAGCACCACAGAAACACAGGATAGAATTTGTTTAAATTATAATTAACAAAACTACCTGCAAAAGACAGTGTCATCGGCAATAATATTTCTTATGGCCTAAAAATGACGCAATTAACTATTGACATAGGAGTTCCAAGATTTCTAAAGAGAATTCAGTTTTTTAAAGCTAGTCTTTACCTTGTTTCTCTCACTCTTCTCTTGCCTCCTAGGCTAGCTGTCCATGAGAGAGCCCTGGCTCTACTTTCTTTTGTAAGTCACATGTTCCCGTACCTCTTTCCCACGCGGCGCCTTTGATGTTTTCAGGTCTTCGTACCTCCGTTTCCACAGAGACAGGGCCGACTCCAGTCTTTCTATCTCCTTTTCCAAAGCTACACGCATTCTAAATCATTTAAAGTAGAAATAATAATTTTAATTTGGAAATACATCCTATTTTCGATTTTTCTTATATTTGCGTATGATCATCATGAGACAAAACATTTCCCAGTCATTAAAATTATAAATATTGAATAAAATTTGCTTCAATCTGTTGTTCTATTGATTAGCTGTATGGTAGATTAGACATGTTTAACTTAGCCTTGCAAATGTAGGCTTCCTGCCAGTTTCCTCCTGCTTATTCTGCACATTTTTCTTAATTCCTCTCCTTGGTATTATTTCTATACACAGAAGAATTTATGTTTTTAATTTCACATAGTATTTATCTGTTTTCATACTTTGGCCCTATGTGAATTAAGAATGCATTTATCCAAACGATCACAAAAAAGGCTATACTAAAGCTACCAGCAGAACCATGTCTATTGCAGCATTATTCACCATAGCTAAGACATGAACCAACACAGATGTCCCTCAGTAGATGACTAGATCAAGAAAATGTGATATATATGTATATGTATATATGCATATATATAATGAAATGCTATGCCTCCATCAGAAAAAATGACACCACCCTATTTGTTAGAAAATGGAAAGACTTGGGAGTGAAATATTAAGTGAAGTAAGCCAGGCTCAAAGAAACATAGGCCCCATGGCTTCCCTTATCTGCAAAAACTAGCATATGTTGAGGACAAGCAGAAAAGCTCAAAAGCTATGTACATATGACCATATAAGATGACGCTAAGTGAAATGAACCCCAAGATAGGGACACAAGAGGTTTTATCTTTGTTGCTGTTGTTTTTAATGTATTTATAATGTACTATGTGATTTTTTGTTTCATTTGTACATTCTTGCCCCATGGTACAACCCCTGTTTACATGTATTTAATTCTGGTGCTCTGCATCTTGAATATACATTTTTTCTAATTTGAGGCGGGGAAGGGAAATAATAAAATGATGAAATAAGATACAGGTTGACCCATTATAACAACGAGATGTACAAGACACTATGTTGAAAATGAACTTTACAACTGGTGGGGGAGGGAGAAGCTGGGGAGGTGGGAAGGGAAGGCATAGTAGGGGGAAAACAAAGAAGGGGTAACAATGCTCCATAGGAAATGTACTCATTACCTTACTCATGTAACTGTAACCCTCTGTACAGTATCTTTACAGTGAAACAATAAAAAAGAATGATTCAATACGACACCGAATGTCAAGAAGCCCTTCTTGGTTTAAAGACATCAGTCACTTGAGCTGGGTGTGTTGGTCACACCGGTAATGCCAGTACCCAGAAGGCTGGGCAGGAAGACTCGGAGTGTGAGGTCAACAAGGGGCTACATGGGGAGACCAGGCCTCAAACACATCACTCATTTATGAGAGATGAAAAGACATCTTTAAAAGTTATGTTAATAAACCAATTTCACTGGTTAAAATAATTTAATTTCCCACTTGTAAAAATAGGAAAAGAACTAGGAATAAAATGTGTCCTTGAATAAATAAGCCATTGACTTTTCTTTATCTGCCCACATTATCTATTAAAGGGAGACATTGGAAGTAACTGATTTATTGGTGAATGTCAAATACACTGACCTTGGCAATTGACATCTCCTTATCTATGCTGCAGATTCAATCATTGATTAAAAACTACTCGCTCTTTTCCCAGTTGATACATAGACAGAGTGGGCTCCTTGTCCCTCAAGTCTAGTCTTGAACAAGGATTGTCAACAGATCTGATAAAAATGGAATTGTGAATGAATTGAACTCTTGGGCTCTGATTCTGTCTTCTAGGTAACTGTGACTTTTGTGGTTGTCAGCTTTGTAATTCCTAAAAGCCTGAGATGTATTGCAGTGATACTAAATGTCACTCAAAAAAATCCTAAAATGGATTCACAGAGCTAGAACATGTATCAAAACTGAATGTCATCTCCATATTTATAAGAAATATGACTAAGCCTAGTAGCAGAACTTTGAAGGAAACTCAGAATACTGTTAGGTTGTAAACATCAGCTTAATCTAATCATATAGATGAAGGACCTATTAAAGGGTCCTATGTTTGCATTTGCATGAATCACACCATGAAAAGGAAAGAAGATAGCTCTTACTAAATCACTAAATATATTAAACAAAATTAACAAACCTAACATTTCAATACAGAAATTTAGATCTTACTGACAATGCTTAAGAATGCCAAGACTCCAAGTTGGCTACATGAGCCTAAGTTTCTGGGATAAGCATAGTTATCCTGCTGATTCCTAAGCTATTAACAATGTTATAATTATTGTCTTCAGGAGCTGTGCTAAAATGCCAAGGAAAGGAAAGTACAGCAGGGACTCATCAAAGAAAGAGAACTATAGACCCATTTTTTTGATGAGCATTGATGCAAAACTTCTCAACAAAATTTTGGCCAATCGACTCAACAATTCATCCAAAAACTCATTCACCATGATCAAACAGGATTCATTTCAGGGATGCCAAGCTGGTTCAATATATGCAAATCAATTAATATGATTCATCACATCAACAAGAGCAAGGATAAGAACCACATGGTTATCTCAATAGATGCAGAAAAGGCATTTGACAAGATCCAACACCCCTTTATGATGAAGGTTTTGGAAAAATTAGGAATCCATGGAACATTCCTCAATACAATAAAGGCTGTATATGACAAACCTACAGCCAGCATAATACTCAATGGTGAAAAACTAAAGCCATTTCCTCT